AGGGCTGTTCTGAGGACAAAGTGAGGAGGAAGCAGAGAACAAGGTCTGCCGGCTGGAGCTCAGTCTGTTCTACGAGGTCGTGTCAGGAAAAGGAGGGGAGTTTTGAGAACCCGGTTGGTCTGGGGAAGGGAGCGCTGGGGGGGGGGTTTCCTTTGGGCAGCCCCAGGATGTGCCTCTGGAGGACAGAGAGAAATCCTTGGTGGGGCCACAACGCCTGGAACCCCTTCGGGAGCCTCAGAGCCCAAACAAGCCGGGTGGGGCACCCGCGGCCAGTGGCCTTTGGGCCTGGGCCCTGGGGTGACCGCTGGGCTCTCCCTTTCAGCTCCTCCCGCAGCTACCGGGTGGTGCTGGGCGAGTATGACCGGAGCCGGGAGGAGGGACCCGAGCAGTTCATCCCGGTGAACGCGGGAGACATTTTTGTGCACCCGGACTGGAACAGCAACTGCCTGTCGTGCGGGTGAGTTCCCCTTGAGACACCCCCCCGCCCCAAAGGAAACAGAGGGGAAGAGCCCCCCCGCCCCGGTTGCTTCAGACCACATTCCCGAATCCATACGTGTGGATCCGCACAGCGGCATCCTCTGTGGCAGGCAGGCAGCTTTGTCGGGGGGGGGGGCACCCGGTCCTTTCCAGCCTGTCAGCCCCGGCTGCCACCTCCCAGCTCTGGCTGCCTAAGGCAAGGGCGCTCTTCCCGAGAAGGGCCCCGGCCAGTGATCCCTCCCCACTCGCCCCGCTTCCCTTCTCTCCCAGGAACGACGTCGCCCTCCTCCGGCTCTCCCGCGAAGCGGAGCTCAACGACAAGGTGCAGCTGGGGTGCCTCCCACCCCCGGGAGAGCTTCTCCCCAACGGGCAGCCCTGCTACGTCAGCGGCTGGGGCCGCCTCTACAGTAGGTGACGCAGGACCCCCGGGGGGGGGGAGCAGGCGGCAGGGAAGTCTGGGGAACGCCATGTGGAAGGAAAGAAGGGCTGGGGGACCGAGCGGACACTCCCAGAAAGCAGCAGCCCCCTCAAACGGTTTTTTAAACAAGTGCAATGAAAAGTAATCCAAAGAAAAGTAAATAAGCAGCACAATAAGTTACTTCCCCCCACCCAATGTTACTATCACTTTACCTTTTGTATGAAGGGCACTGGATTATTATTATTATTATTTTAAAATACTGTTAGAATCACAGGAACGCGCCTCCTCAATATGCCATGCCCTGGCAGAAATTCCACCCTAACAAGATTTTACATACAGGGCCTTCCTCCCCATTGACTCTATTCAGGTCTCCAAGACACCGCAGGGACATCCTTCGCCCTTTTCAGCTTTTCTCTTGGATGGGACCCTTTCCAGTGCTTTTGGACGCCTCTCTGTCACCTGCTGGAGAGGGAGGGAGGGAGGGAGGGAGGAAGCACCCTGGGTTCTGCTCCATGTCCTGCTGACTTCCAGACACATAAGAGAGGCCCCTCTAGCTCAGATCCCCTTCAGCCTCCCTCCACTCTAAAATACAGTATATAGTACCTGGCAAACTCTGTCTGTCTGTCTGTCCGTCCGTCTGTCAACCTGGCAAACTCTGTCTGTCTGTCTGTCTGTCTGTCTGTCTCTCTCTCTCTCTCTCACACACACACACACACACATACACACCACTTTATTTCTGGGTGAGCACCCCAAAATCTTTTAGATAGGGAAAAGCTGCTAGACCATAAACCTCCACTAGATGGCACCCTATAGGTGGAAGGATGCTGGATGTCTGGGGGGGGAGGGGGAGAGGGATTTAAAAAGGAACTTTTGGAAGCTCAGGATCTCTTTGGCAGGCCAGCCGGAGACCCAGGGTGTGGGCAGCCCTCCTTGCAAGCTGTAGGGGTGGAAACCAAGGGCCTGGAGGCAGATCATCTGGCCACAGTAGAACCCCTGTGTCCTAACGCATGGGTTTGGGCCAGCCAGGACCCCCACGAGTTTCTGTCCTTTGAGAGAGTGCCATGGGGGGGGGGCTGACAGGACAGTGGACCGGTATGCAAAATGAGGCACTACCGCAGAAAGGCACACGGATCCCTCACAGGCTGGGCAGCCCTCCTGAGTCCAGCTGGGCATCGTCCCTCTAGGGTGGCATGACTCTGCCTTAGGTGACCAGTCCCCTCTCTCCCTCCCTCCCCCCCGGTTCCTCCCACGGCTGGGATGCTCTCACAACCTGGGCACCCAAAAGCCTATCATCCCTTCGCTTCCCTGCTTTGAAACTGGCACGGGGGGGGGAGAGGAAGAGAGCCGCCAACAACAGCCGCCCGTCTCACCCAGGGGAGGAAAACCGCTTATGGGCCGAGCGGCACAAACCGCTCCGGGGGACCTGGTCCACAGGTTAGCACCTTGATGGGACCGGGCACTCTTGGGAGAGGAGGCTCTGTGGCAAAGCGCAGGGTTTTTTTTTCTGGGTGAGCACCTCCTCTTCAGCAGGCCAGAGGGTGCCTGGGCGCCTCTTCTCCAGCGATGCTCCTTCCTCCCTTCTCTCGCAGCCGGCGGGCCCCTCCCCTCCATCCTGCAGCAGGCCCTGCTCCCCGTGGTGGATCATGAGCACTGCACGCAGCCCGACTGGTGGGGAGCCACCGTCAAGGAGAACATGGTCTGTGCCGGAGGGGACATCCGTGCCGGATGCAACGTAAGTGAGGAGGAGGAGGAGGGAGCCATGAAGTGCAGCCTAGAAAGGGTCAGTGGCTCGGAGGCGACAGCTTGACAGGCCGGGGTGCCTGGGGATTCCAGGATCCGCACTGGACCCAAATCCCGTCAATCCAGTGGGTTGACTCCTTGGGATCAGCAACTCTGTTTCTGAGCCCCAATGGTTTGTGTTTTATTCATACCAGCCACAGTCTTGACGGCATTCTAGAAATGATCAATATATATGGTTTCAGGGTGACTCCGGGGGGCCCCTCAACTGCCAGGCTACTGATGGGAGGTGGTACGTCCACGGAGTTACCAGCTTCGTCTCGAGCATGGGGTGCGACACCTTGAAGAAGCCCACTGTCTTCTCCCGCGTCTCGGCCTTCAATTCCTGGATCGAAGAGGTATTGCCCTTTACTCACTGTGGCACGGCAAGCGGTCAAGTAGCCTAACCCTACAGGCAGCTCATCCTCAGAGGCCAGAAATCTCGAGCCTGATTTCTGCAAATACCACAGCTGGGGGGCGGGGGAGAGGCCCAGACTGAAATCTCTTCTTGTCATAAATCTGTAGGCCTTGAAGTTACCACAGCATTCCTGGTTAGGTCTGTTCTCCATATTTGTCCACTAATGACGCAATCCCGGTTTTATCTTGCAGACGATCGCAAGCAATGAATGACCAGCAGGAAACACCAGCCTGTCCTTCCCTAAATTCTCTGCCTATCTTCAAGAATAACAATAATAAAAATCTTCTGTCTGCAGTGTGGCTTTCCTTCTTTCCAGTGTCCTCAACCCTCTCATCCCTTCAAAATATCAGGAGATGCCAACAAGGCATTTTCTATTGGTTTCCCTTCCTGTACAGTGCCTGGGCTTTAGACACCTGAACATAACGTGTGGCTGAACCAAAACTAGCCTCAGAAACAAACTCAGAACAGTTACTAGCTGGCAAACAGCCCCCCACATGCCCACATCTACTGGGGTTGTCACGGCAGGGACCGCCAGCGCCATTTCTGAGTAAGGCATGCTACATATTAATTGAAGCAAGGCCCCCTCCTGCAGCATATGAGCACAGAATGTACCAAAGCATCCATCCACTAATCCACCACAACTGTTAGTCTTTAGTCTTTGAAGGAATAAATTCTGATCTAGGAAGAAGCTGGCTGAGTTGACATCAGTTTTGCCAAAAAAACCCCACATAAAAACCTTAACAAAAAACAACATATGGGCTATGCACAAGACTATAGAAAGAACCAGTTATTGAAAGAGGGAGAGAGACAGTAAGCTTAAAAAGCTCAGTCTCTGCTTAAGCCATAAGAAGCACAATGGAGTTTACGGATACAGTACCATGCCATTTTGCGGGCTTCTTTCCAACCAGGAACTAAATAAGCTCAGCAATTCTGCTCCACTGTCCAAATCAAGTAGTTCTGGAAAAGCAGAGAATGTGTGGGAAGGGATAATGAACAAGGAACGGCAGCCATATTAGCTGGTGGTGGGAGACTCAAAATTGATAACAGGTTTGCAATACCTTTATCAGGCCAATCAAATAATTATGGAACAGTGTGCAAGCTTTCCAGTTCTCCAGGACTTCTCTAGTTCTGCGCCTTTAAAGCGTGGAAACTGTTTTGAGTGGTTGGTTGGCCCTGATGAAGGTTTTGCTTCTAATAGGAGAAATAAAAAAGGACAGAGGCCTTGGTAATAAGGATTTGTGGTGGGAGGTTCAGAGGGGGAACCTTGGAGAAGTCCTGAAAAAAATTGAGCAGAGACCAAGGCATAAAAAAACCCCGATGCCATGCCGGAAGCAAAAACTGCCCGGCGCAGGTGCAGTTTAACCCATTCGTGTGCATTCACAGAGACCACAAAGGAGAACGTGGACTTGGGGACGTGGAAATTAAAACCTCTGCAGGCTTTAAGAACAGAATGATTAGAACAATTCAGGCAAAAGGCAGTGCAACTCCCCCAGCAGAATTCCGAGACCTGAGAAACACGGCAACCAACATTTGGCCCCCCCATGTTGAGAGGGGAGAAACCAGCTCTCCAATCTGAGGTGGGGCCGCCGAGCACGGGGTTCTTTCCTGGCCCACCACAAGCAGCGTTCCTTTCCTGCAGCCTGTCCTGAATGGGCTGGTCTTCATTTTGACCTTTTCTGACCTCCCGCTGAAGGTGGCTGGAGGGCTGGCCTCCCCTCCTGCTCTTACAAACAGCTCTCCTTTTCGACCAAGGTTAATTTGGGTGAGCTGGTAACAGATTCCTTTTTCCGCCACACACACCCCTGCCGGGGCACCTGCGGTCGCTCTCAGGCCAGAAGCTTCCCATCTGGGCTAAGGGGAACGGAGGGCAGAGCTTGAGAAAGCGGCTTTTTTGAACCACGGACCTCAGCATCCCTCAGTCCGCTTTGCTTGTGTGAACTGTAATCCAAGAACGCCACCTTTCCAAACTCTGGCAACACCAAGGGTGTGAGAAAGGGGCTGCGTGTGAACTGCAGATTCCTCGGCCCGCCCCCCCGGAAACAGGAAGCTCATCTTCAGCCCCGGTAATGGTGTGACAGCCCTGACACAATGAAGTGACCTTCTTTAAGCACGGGCGGTGTGTCTTCTTCTTTCCCGCTGGCTGTTAGTCGGCTAAGAACCCTTCCTCCATCTTCCCCCCCCTTCCCCGCTGCTGTTCACCAACTTGGTGGGTAATCTTTCTGTTTGGCAAACTCTTTCAGGGAGGCCATGAAACCAGCTGCTCCGTTCCCTTCCTTCCTGTCCATCACGTGGTCCTTTCCACCTCGTTCTGAAGGATGAGGCCGATTCCTTCCGTGAAGTCACGGAGCGACCTTGGATGGAGTGATGGGGGAAGATCAGCACCTGCAGCTGAGGCCCATCCGCCCAGCGTCCTGCTTTTGCTGATAAGGAGGGGGGGGATATTAACGTTCCTCGCCAGGCCTGGGACCCGTCTGGAACAAGATGCTGGCGATGTCGGTCCCCCTGCTGCTGGCGCTGGTGGTGGCTGGTGGTAAGAAGCATTCTCCCATTCTCTCCCTTTCGCTTCCTCTCTCTCGGTTTCTCACCAAACAGCACCCCACGAAGAACTGTGTGACCTTTCCCCCCCTTTAACTGTTGGGGTTCTGTCCTGTGGAACTCCAGGATCTGTACTTTTGATGGTGCATAAACTTTCCTTTTAAGAAGGCACACACATGCATGAAATAAAAACACGTGAGAGCGGAAGACGGCAGAAGGACGCTTCGTATGGGCAGCTTCGTCTAGCGTGAAAAACCAAAGAGCCCTTTATTATAAACCATGGCTTAGTCGGTGTGCTGTGTGAACGTCGCTTCTCTCTTTGAGCCCCTGCTCATCCGGCATCATCGAGGGGTCTTCTGACCACTCCGTACACATGACGGGCTTCAGAGGTTTTATCAATGGGATGAGAGATGAGATAGTTGTGCTTGCACACACGCGTACAGCAGTCCGATCTCCCTTGCACGCTGGCCACCAAAGAGCATCCGTCGCCTGAGGGAGCCAGTCTGGACCCCTGGGCAGGTGGGCAGCCAGGCAGGCAGGCAGGCAGGCAGGTGGCCACACATCCCCCACCCCGTTCTGTTTTCAGTGTCTCTCCACCAACATGCTGCCTTCTCCCTTCGGCATCCATTCCCTGTGGCAGCCATTCCACTTTGCCTAAGGACAGGGCCAGGCCCGACAGCCTTCAAGCTCTGCTTCTGAAGCAGCGAGGAGCGCTTGGTTTCTACAGGCGCACGGACAGACAGGCAAGGCGGACAGTCACTGGAGTGCTCAGGATCTTACAGACAAGCTGGCCGCGGCTGGGATGGGGGGTGGGACAAGGTATTCTAGGGGTTCTGGGTCTAAGCTCTGGGTTGAAGTTTCAGAGCAGGCTGAAGCAAGGGGCCAAACGCTTTTGAAAACAGAGGGCGAGACGGAGGTGAGAGGGAGAGAGGAGGCCCTTCAGGCTCCCCATGGGCTCTCGCCTCTGCTGCTTGCTCCTGCTGCTCCTGGGGGCTTCAGTTCCCTCCCCCCCACGGCCAACCCCCTTTGCCCTCTTCTGCAGCCTCTGGATGTGGGCAGCCCGTCTCTTCCCCAAATGCCCGGGTGGTGAACGGTGAAGATGCCAATCCGTACAGTTGGCCCTGGCAGGTAAGCCAAGGCACATGGCCTCTCCCTCCCTGTCCCTCCTCCCTCTTTCTTCTTCTTCTCTCTCCCCTTCTCCCTGGTTCCTCTTTCCTTCCCTCCATTCTCTCCTCCTTTCTGACCACGCGGCAGGCTTGCTGCCAAGGACTTTTGCAAACAGAAGTCCCAAGAAATACCTTTTGATAAACCTCTACTGGAACTCTGTAGTCGAGGGCCCTGCTGCCCAAAGAGCTAAAAAAAAACCCACCTCTCTCTCTCTCTCTCTCACCTGCCTCCCCCACAGATTTCCCTCCAGTACAAGAAAGACGGGGAGTTCTACCACACCTGCGGGGGGTCCCTCATTGGCCCCAACTGGGTCATGACAGCCGCCCACTGCATCTCGTGAGTACCTCTCTGTGGGAGCAGGGAGGGAACGAACCTTCATTGGGGGGGTGAAGAGGGGGGGAATTGCCAAGGACGTGGGGAAGAGACCAACCCATCCCTGCCTCAGGTTGGTCTCTGGGTGGCCCTTGGACCCCCTGCCTCAGTGACACCCCCAAACCAAACCCCCAAAGCTGCCATTCCTGAGGTTGGGGACTCTCGTTTCAGCAAATCCCGCGAGTACCGGGTGGGTCTGGGCGAGTACGACCGGAGCCGGGAGGACGGCTTTGAGCAGTTCATTCCCATCAACGCGGACGACATCTTTGTGCACCCCCGGTGGTTCTCCATCTGCGCGGCCTGCGGGTAAGGAAGGCATCCGGAGGGAGCGCTGCAGGGCCGGCCCGAGGGCTAGACCGACCAGGGGTGGCAACGGCCTCCAGCCGCAGATTCTAAGAGGCCACCTGCATCTCACAAGGCCAGCCCCTGAACCGGGGTCTGTGTGTTGCTGGCAGGAGACCCTCCCAGACCCTCTCTGGCACCAATACGGAGGGGGGAGGCCCACACGTCAGCCAAATGCCACCACCACCCCTCCCCTGTGGATCCCTTCTGGGACTCACTCTCCCCTCTTTCGATTCCAGCAATGACATTGCCCTGCTGAAGCTCTCCCGCAGCGCCAAGATGAACGACCGGGTGCAGCCGGCTTGCCTCCCCCCCGCGGGAGAGATTCTGCCCAACGAGTATCCCTGTTACATCACGGGCTGGGGACGGCTTTACAGTACGTGGGGTCCTGCCTTGACAACGGCTGCGAGAAAGAGGGAGGGAGGGAGGAACGTTTTTTCAACTACAGTTCTCACAATCCTTCACCCAACTGGGCTGTTTCCCCAGAACTGGGAGAGAGACTGACTTGTATGTATGACAGAGAGAGAGAGAGAGAGAGAGAGAGAGAGTCTGTCTCATGGCCCATCCCGTGCCATAGCCCCCACGTTCTCGTGCAACGCTCTTATCTTTGGGACAAAGTGCAGCTTAGGGGAAAGGAAGGGGGGGAGCACCCAGGTGATGTGCTGAGAAGTCCCAGGTCCCCTTCCCAGCATCGCCATCTGAAGAAGGTCAAGGGGAAGGCCCTCCAAAGGAGGGGAAAAACCTCTGCCAGCAGGCCTAATCTGGCTAGCAGAAAGGTCCCCTGTTCAAAGGGGGGGCGCAGCGGGGAGCAGAAGAGGGATGGGGCTTAGCCAGAAGTCTCAAAATCTGGGGAAATGGCATGTCTCACCCCTGGTTCTGCATGGCTGTGTTGGCTGGCCTGTCACCTTCCCTTGAGCAATGCTAATACGGCACAAATGTTAGAAGGGCCAGATGATCCTAGGTGCATCTTCTCCTCATGCCTTCCCTAAATCGGTAAGTAGACTGCTACTCAGGGGCTCACTTCCTTCCTCCTTCTCACTCTGAGGTCACTTCCAGCTTCTTCTTTTTTCCAGACAGAGAACAGCAGGCTGTCTGTGGCATCTCTGTAAGGGCTGCCCAAAGATTTGCAAGCATGGAAACCAGATTTAGGAGGGATTCCTTAAATACGTTTAGAAACATTTCCTCCTGCTCTATCTATAAATGGATTTCCTTGTACCGTTACAAATCCTTTCGCTGGATCTTCTTGGCTGTGGACTCACTAGCTGGACCCAGTGCAGATCTCTGACTTTCCGGCTCTTACCCGCGTTGCCTCCCTTTGCAGCCAATGGACCCCTCCCTGATATACTGCAGCAAGCGGAGCTTCCTGTGGTCGACAATGAACACTGCAACCAACGTGACTGGTGGGGAGGTGTCATCCGGCAGAACATGATCTGTGCAGGTGGCGACATCCGGTCCGGTTGCAATGTAAGTCGGAAAGCCCAGAAGAAAGAGACTCTTGGTCATGCCTGGAAGGTTCAAGTGCTTCTGGTCCGGATGGACCCAGAGCAAAAATGCAGGCATCGAGCAAAGAGTCAGACATGGGGCAGCTGCCCCCCCCAGCAAGGAGGGGAGACTGCCAAACAGCCCACCCGATGAGAGTGCAAGTAAGGCTTTGCCCACCTTTCCTGTTCTAGGTCCTTTGCAGGCCCTTTATCTCACAACGCTCTGGGTTTTTTGGGGGGGGTGTTTCCTGTTTCCAGGGTGACTCCGGGGGACCCCTCAACTGCCAGGCTGCTGACGGGAGGTGGGCCGTCCACGGCATCGCCAGCTTCGTCTCCGCCTTGGGCTGCAACGCCTTGAAGAAGCCCACCGTCTTCACCCGCGTCTCCGCTTTCGAGGACTGGATCCAGGAGGTAAGTGGCCTTGGCGAGGAAGCCACAGGTGGCCCTTGCGACGTGGCTGAGCTGGCCTGGTGCGTGCGTTCCTCCAAAATTCACGCGTGCCTTGCTTTTTGGAGGGAAGGTCGATGTTGCTCCCCCACCCCCTTCCAGTCACTGGGAAGGAAGGAAACACAAGGACGTGGAGGGGACCTCTGGGCTTGGAAAAGCAACTTTTTCAGACCTCAATTCCCAGAGTTCTCATCTGCAAAATAATTGTCCAAGGCAATCTCTGCCCTCGTGGCCAAAATCTTTCCACGAGATTAGAAGGTCAAGGCAAGGAGCCCTCTTTGGAGTAGCTGCCACTCAAGACCCTCAACAGCAGATAAGAGTTTAATTCTAAAAATTCATCTTCCTTCCTCCTTTTCTTTCAGACCATCGCCGCACATCCATGATGACTGGATTTATACTTGGGGAAAGCTTCCTAATTCCTGAATAAAACAACCGAGACAGAATCCAATGGCGTTTTCCTTTCTTCTTCTTTCACTCAGCATCCTGTCTCGAACGCAAAGCACCTTCTGCTTCAGAATCTTCCTAGCAACCATGTTTCCAGTTGGCATGCACAGCCCATCCATCTTGTGCACATTTGCCTCCTCTCCCTGTAAAGCGTCTCCACTGGAGACGTCTCCTGGGCTTGGCAAATTTCAGCCCTGAATCCTGCGCCTTCCCCCCCCCCCGGCGCTGGCCCTCCCATCAGGTGGCCTGAGGCGGCTGCTTCAGGAGGCGGAATCTGGGTTTTATAACAGGGCAGCAAGCTGCCAGCGCTTTAATCGTCTCTAGGTCTGTCAGGGGATGGGGAAGAGGGGCTGGCTGGGTTTTCGGACGCCTCTACGAAAAGAGCTTGGCACCACGAATTCACCAAGAAGGGGTCCCCGGGAGCTGCCCTGCCCTCAGGTGGCAAAATGTCCTGGACCACTCCAGGTCTGGCCCCGGAGGCAGATCTCTGCAAATCCCTGAGGAAGGGGGGGGGGGTTTCCCACAGCATCTGAGCGTCCTTTCCTGCACGGAAACCATTCCAGCTGTCCCCAGGAGAGGGCAGCCGCCTCCGCCGTGGCCACCTCCTTCCAAAGGCGGGCGGTTCTGATATAACCCCTGCTTCTTCTAGAAGGCCTGCACAGCTCTGCCAAAGAAGAGCCGCTTATTGGATCAGGTTTCCAGTATTAGTCATGTTTCCCAGGCTGAGAGTTATTCCACGGAGCCCCTTGTCTGTTTTCACCCTGTGGCAAGAAAAAAAAAAGCACTTTGCGTGCATGCGTGCGTGTTTGCCTGAAGTGCTTTCTGAAGGCTTCATTTGTATCTTCGATGGCTGTCCTGGGAATGAAAGCCACTCCTGGAAGAAGGGCAGTGGGACATGAGCGGGGAGATAGCGCATCTATTTTTGGCCGCAGGTTTATCCTGGCCACTGACTTGCACAGCACAGAAAAGGAGATTAAGACCAACTCCCAGAGGCACAGGGTTACAGGTGGAGGTTAGCCACAATGCCTGTACTGAGCCTCCAGGACCAGAGGCAGTCTACCTTTCCATGGAAACGGAACAGCAAGGGAGCTCCGCTGAGTTCCTGTCCTGTTCAGAGCAAACCTTACTGCCAGGCGGCACTGATGTCCTCGGGCAGGCGGCCCAGAGAGGCGGCTGCAAGGTGTGGGAGGGGAGAACACAGCCTCCCCTCTGCGCCGCCACCCCCCCCAAGCTAGCCTGCTGCCTTCAGCTCTGCTGGAAGATGCTGCTCCGTGGCAACCACTGAAGAAAGAGATTTCTGCCTAATTGGCTTTAATACTTGGACCGATATGGGAAGTTGCTCTCTTTTGCCTCAGGCTGCAAAACCCCAGACCCTGTTGGAAAGGCCCGCTTCGGTCTCATACAACAAAAATGCATCCTCTCTCTTTGACGCACAGTACCACAACCACACAGTAAAAGGGTGGAACTCACCGCCACAAGATTCAACACTGGCTGTCCACAGGCATGGCTTTAAACACACAGTCCATATAAACAATCCTTCGCAGCGATCTGCTCCCCCCTCCCCTCCCCAGCCTCCTTATTTGTTTTCTAACTTGGCCTGGTCCTAGAACACCCAATATAGATAACAGCAAGGAAAGACAATTAACGGGTACTTTGATCGCCCCTGGGCGTTCTGGCTGGAGGCCACTGTGAGTACCGGGAGAGGAGGGCAGCCTGCTGATAAGGAAGCTGCTGCTGCTGCTGCTGCGAACCTGACCCCCCCCCCAAGAGGAGGCAGGCGGGTGAAAGAGGGACACCCCTCCCCGCGTGGCACCTGCGGTGGCCCAGACCTGGCCCGCCTCATCCTAGACGTGTCGATGGCCCCTATTCCCTCACCCTCTTTTTCCTGCATCTCCCTCTTCCTAGTTTCCATGCTAGGCTTATCACCCTTGCAGGCAGGACGCATCAGGCAGGGGGCATCGGGGCCGAGCTGTGCCCATCAGATAGGCTCTGCCCCAGGGAATGTTCTGTGAAGTCAGCAGGGCTCCTGTTCCCATGGTCCTTCAGGACACACTGGGCACACACCCTCTCACGGGCAGGATCCGCATCCTCAGGCACTCACGGCTGCCTGCCCAGGCCTTTGATCAACCTACAGGCAAGCGCCCATGATTCAGGACGACCCGAAGAGATTAAAAGTCCTCTGGGGATACAAGGAAAAAGCTGAGAAGGGCTGCAACACAGCTGGACCTACAGGGGAGGGCTGCCTCGGGCGGCAGATTCATGGTGTCCTCATCACGGGGGTGGGGGTGGGGGGAAGCATGCAAAGCCGGATCCAAAGAAGGAACTTCCCCCAGCTTATGAGCAAGGTCAATAAAAGTCAGCAAAAGGTTAAAGATGAGAACAATGTGGCATTTTAAAAATAAAAGATAGGGAAACTAGTGGATTTTCTGCCCCAGGCAATTAGCAATCAGGATTTAGTGATTCCTTGGTAATTAGTCTGGGCTTGGATTCCAGGAGCTCTGGCTCAGGGGGAGGTCTGGGCACCCTTTGCTCTTCTGCTTCTAGCAGCAAAATATTTAGGGCTGACCCCCACACCTGCCGGGAGGAAGGGTATGCAAATGTTCCTGGTTTCAGCCTCTTGGTCCAAAAGGGGGAAATGCAGCAACCCTTTTAAAGTTGGCCCTGTCTGCCTTCGGCTGGGGAACACCCCCACCAAAGGCGTCCGTCTGAGGACAGGTAGGCTGCCAGAAAACGCAGGCCGGTTATGTGTTTGTTCATGAAAATGTGTGATGTTTGAAGATGCACTACATGAAGAAAATTGCTTGCAAAATGCATGAATACAATTGGACAAAACAGCAGGAAATCCACTCAGAAAGGCAAACATATAGACACCCCCCCCCCGGTCAATGTTTGGGGCAAGCAGCTGAAGATTGGGAAAATATTTTAAAAATTTGGCATAAAAACCTCTTAAGACTGGAGAAATGAGAAATGGATAGAAACCACCATTGACAAACTCAAGCATCCCTACCTTCAGGCCACGCCCATGTCAATGCCAGGTCCTCTTGAAACCTTTGGGAAGCAGAAAGAAGCCGTCAGCCAAGCCAACAGAGTTCTCTTCCTCCCCCCCCCAGCAGTTGGCAAGAGAATGTGCCATATTTCCCAGTGCCACAGAACTCCTCATCAGCCTCCGGGGGGCTTGTTGTTTCTGGAAGTCTGCAGAAGCTCCTCTTTTTTTTCTTCCCAATCAAAGCTCTCAAAACACCTCCGGCCGGCAGCCACGCAGTGGATTCTGAGAGTGGTAGTCGGAAAAAAAAGAAAAGAGGAACTTCTCCCAGCCTTGGCCATGTCCTCTGACCTCTGACCTCTCTCTTGCACCCTTACTCCAGTGCAAACGTTTTCTTAGGTTGGTTCAGGGAGGCCAAAAGGGCAGAACTGGGGTTGCCACTTCAAACAAGATGACGGAAGAGGAGAAATTGTTTGACTGCCCTTCACTTTGTGTGGTGCAGCCATGCCATGGCCCTGTCCTCCAGAAGGGGTCAGGGGTCTCCAGCCCATCCCTCTCTCCTCTTCCTGGCCTTCCCTGACCCCCCCTTCCTATCTGCCTCAAGGTCTCCCCTTAAAAGGTTCCTGCTGGACCCTCCCTTTCCTCGGTCAGGTGGAGTCGAGCAAAGATGGATTCCGTGATGGTGTTTTCACCCCTGACCGTCCTGCCCTTTGCTGTCCCTTTTCAAAGAGCTGGGTGGCAGGAAGACAGGCCATGAGTTTTATTACTTCTTTTATAGCTGGTTTTATAGCCTGGTGGGTGGGAAGAACCACCAACACCAGGAACCTCAGGTCATGAAAGCATGCAAAGGGCAGAAACGACCATTTAGCTAGCCAGACAGTATTTAGTAGCCTTTCCTCTAGTGAGCTCTACGGGGTAGAGAGAGCTCTCTTCCCTGTTTGCCCTCACAACAAGCACGGCAAGGCTGGTGAGGCTCAGAGCAATTTTAAAGGACTTTGTTGGGCTGATGCTGTCGTGTTATTCTTTTCCACCTTCTTCTCTTTATTTGTCTTTGCCTCGGATGGCTGCAGGCGGATGCCTGGAGAGAAAGGATCAAGTTTAAAACTAAACAAAAAACGGACCAATAATCCTTCCTGTTGTTTCCAACAAACACATCCTTGCAAACACATTCCCTGGCTCCGAGGGAAGATTTGTCCCTGAGGAGCTAGTTTGTTCCTTGCAGGGATGTGTTTTATTTTAGGACGAGGCAGTATCAGGCCACTGCCCTCCATGCTCTCCCTTAATCTTCCTGCAAAACCCCAGCTGCAGAGAGATCTACTTTTGAGGAGCCCTCCATCAGCAGGGTGGAGTCAGAGGGTCCACTGGCTGAGTGTTGAGTCATCTCTGTTCAGGGACACCCTATTCATAGCTCAGGGGCGGCCCCGGTAAATACTCTGGCCCACAGAAAAGGTTACCGGGTGCAGCTGACCACATGAGTCCTCGCAGGGAATGAGAGTCTCCAACGAATATGCGGAGGGGGGGAGTGAGGAGGGGTGTGTGTGTGCATGCGCGCAAACAGGGACAGCAGAAGGAAGACCTCTTCATCCTGCCGCCCCTTTTAGGGTGCTCGTGGTCACCCGGTTCCCGCACAGGGCAGGCAAAAGTCTGTGTTTATCACTCCTGGCATGACGGACGTAACTGGGCTGGGAACGTCCTGAACTGAAATGCATGAGAAGCCGGGCGGCCTTTATTTACGGCCTGAGGGTGGGTGCGTGGGGGGGGGTGAGAGCGGGTGCAGGAGCCTTCGCGAGAGCCTGCCAAGGCAGGGCAAAGTCGAGCTCCCACGCAGGGCAGGCGGCTGCTGCGGCAGCAGAGGCTACAGGCAAACCCAGCGACCCCAGATCCTGTATGGGCTGACCCAATTCACCCCAGGGAGGGGGGGGGCTGACACATACCCTGGGAGGTTGACGGAGGATGGCACAAACTGTTCTGGTGCCCAGCCAGCCAGGGCAGGGGGGCGGGGGCAGGAGGAGGAAG